ATGTAAAAAATAAACTTTAAGTTAAAAAATTATTAATTATTATGAATTTTTGGTAACTTAATAGGAGCACTTGAATAACAATTTTGTTGGTGCATCGGCACATAATATTCAATCCCGCAAGCATACTAGACATTTAACAAAAAAAAAGAGAAAAAAAGATGTTTCACTTTATTGTGAATCAATGAATCATACAAGTTTTCAAAAATTAATTGTTAAATTTATTATCTTTTAAAATCATTTAATTTAATTTATTACAATAATAATAATAATAATATTATGATATTTAATATAATATTATGATCTATTGACAAACATGGGTGGGGGATGTGGTGGGCATAGCTTATGATTATAAAACTTATATACCACCCTAGAACCAATTCCTAATTACGCCACTGCTACTTCGTTGATGTAGTATTCTGCCTACCGTAAAAAGCTACCTCCCCTCTAAAAAAGTTTTACACTTTTACATACTGATTACGTACCTATTTTAGTACGCTATATATTATTGTTCTGTGTTAACGTTATCCCAGAAAACATCAAATAAATTGGCCACCATTCCTCTTTTAGTTGGCGGCTAGCAAATTTGTTGTCAAACACATCGAGGTGTAAGGACACAATACAGACTAAAATAATTTAACATCTTAAATTAAGCTATTGTGGGTCTTGGTGAATATTTACTATAATTTCATTTTTATAGTATTTTCAACACCTTTTTTAAGTTCATTTTTCTGCTTTTTATCTTTTCTGAGCACCGCATAAGTGCTTTTTACATCCACTCATATTTGATTTTTATATTAATAATATACTTCTATACGTTTTAACGTTGTCTCGACGCCCGGACTGTGTCATGTATATGATTACGACTATAATAATATAAGTAGTGTATACGTTTCATATAAAAACTACGTACGATAAATTAAATATGTATGACTATATTAATTTATCATCAAAAACATATAGCAGCTGTATTTATAAAGCCGCGTACACACTTGTAACATTTTCTGTAACGCCGTAACCCCGCATCACCAATTGTCGGTAAATTTGGCGCACATCAGAGGATGTTACGCGCAAATCTTACTAGTGTGTACGCGGCTTAATAGCTTGTAGTAATGTTTCAGTCGTCGTAATAGACGATATTCCCATTTCCGTGAAGACTAGAATAAATTAGACCTCGAGACAGCGGAGTGCGTTCATTTGGATGCGCCAGCGAGTTCACTTAAGAGGACGCCACACCCGCATGTGTTGTCTCCGTCTTACAAACGCGTAACATATCAAATTTTACACTCTGCAGATCACGTTTATCTCCGTAAATTTAAAAGTTAGAGTGAATTGACCTCTCATTAAATATAAAGGTAAGATTATTGTTGAGGGCATCTCATAGGCATTTTATTATATTTTAATTTTAAAACGAATATCGTGTATTTTAAGATGTACAAACAATTTACAATTTTAAAATAGTAATAATTCGCTCTAAAATTAAAATATAATAAAAAGGATATGAGATGCTCTCGATAATAATCTTACCTTTAAATTTAATAGGAGGTCAATTTATTCTAACTGTTAAACTAAAGGAGATAAACGTGATCTGCGGAGCCTACAATTTGCTATGTTACGCACTTGTAAGACGGAGACAATGAATAAATGTGAGTGTAGCGTCCTCTTAAGTTAAACAGTTAAGTTTTTGTATACCTAAATATCTGAGATCACAAAATGTCTGAACTAGATACTATTCGATCCCAACAAAAACACTTCGTCGAACTCCGTGTAAAAAAAAAACTAAGTAAAAAAATAAAATTTTCAAAATATTTTGACTGTTTTGAGCTTGAACGGATATTTTCAATTTTATTGGTTTATTTTCTTTAATGTCAATAACATTTTGTTTGTTGGGTCAAAAAGCGTGAAAAATTTACACAATAAGGCGCTTGGTATATTGTTACAATAGTAGTTGAAAAATATTAAAAATACATAGGCACATTTTTATTTATAAGCATTTCAAGTTCGATTAATGACATTTATAAAATTTAAAATTTATAAATTATAAAAATTTTTAACTTTTATAGCTAAAAATTGAACATTTAAAACAAGGTTCCACGTAAGTAGGTTATTTTGAAACCAAAAAATCTTAAAAATATAAAGAATTTTTTTATAGTTATTTTATGTTCAAGTTTGACCGAAATTACCATAGACGTAAATAGGGGGGGGGCTTCGGTGGGCTTAGCCCACCCTTCAGCCTCTCGAGCTCACCTAAAATAGTAAAATTAAATATGAATTGAAAACAAGCAAGTTATTTAAATAATTCATTTTTGTTCACTTATATCATAATAGAAAATTTGCTAAGTCAGTTGACACATTTTTAGATCTTCAATCTGAAAAAGATACCTGTTTTGTCAATCATTATAAGGTAAATAGTTCAAACAAAATTCAATTTTTCCTTTGTGTTTGATTCTTTATCATAAAAATTTTTGTTTCAGTTTATGTTACAAATTGAAGAAACTGATCTAAAATGTGAACTTACTGTAGCCAAAAATTCTTTGGAAAACAAAAAAATTAACTGTGAAGCTCTAACTCAGAGAGAGATACTCCATTCTGTTGTTGAATTTGACACATATCCAAATGTCTACAAATTATTGCATGTTGCATTGTCAATTCCTATTAGTTCTGCTTCGTGTGAACGATCGTTCTCCTCAATGAGAAGAATTAATACTTATTTAAGGTCAAATATGGCACAAAACAGGTTTACAAATTTAAGTATTCTTAACATTAAGCGAGAATTATCAAACACAATTAAAAATGTTGATATTCTTAACCAATTTGCAGAAAAAGATAGTAAAATGCAATTACTTATAACAAAAAATACTATTTTATAGTAAATATTATACTTTGCTGGTGGATAATTAAAATTGTATTTCTTTATTGACAATGTTGGTATTCATAATTGTATTATATTTTCTTGTTTATTAAGAGTAAGGGACAAGGATATACAACCCCTTCCCTCTTTTAAACATTTTAACTATGGGCTCGAGCCCACTCAATTTAATGGCTCTAGTTAGAAATTACGTATAACCAAGAATAACGATTTTAGTTATTTTGTTGCAATTTTATAATATTAATTCAACTTACCGGCTGCCGTATTAATAATAAGTAATAACAGTATAAATAGAATATAAAATACCCACACTGACCAACCGTCTTCCCTCAGAAGTCAGAATCGTTTTTCGCAAACAATGATCAAATTTATTGCCATCCATTACATCCACTGACCCACTTGAAATATACTGTATAGTAGTGCCAGGGGCGCATCAAGTGGGAGGGGCTGGCAAAAGAAGCAGTTGCTCCAAGCGGCAGGGGCGGCCAAATATTTAAGGGCGTTTGTAATATAATAAAAAATAAAATATTTAGTGGAATAAATATTAATTATTACTCTTACGAATTTACTATGTCAATTGTCAGAATACTATACGGTATCTAAAATCTTAGAGAGAACTCTGTTTATGGACCTTGTTTTCGTAATACCCAGTACCTATGTACTAATCGAACTATTTTTAATATTATCACTATTTACTACATAATATACCGAGCTGCCCGCATACAATATTGCCATGTACATTATATTGCAGTACTGACTACTGCGACTGTAGCTTGTTATTCGATTATAATATCTATTATATTCCTATCTATTTGAATCTATACTATTTATTTATACAAGAAATAACAAAAGTTTTGAACTTGGTCAATTTTTAGGATAATTTTATTGTTATATAATATTTACAATTTTAAACATAGTATACTTACCTATTTCCTTAGTCGTTGATCATTACAATAATTCATAGCTTTAGGCATAGAATATACCATATACCATGAGATAAGAGTTTGAAATTAATAATGATATGTAGACATATTGTGTATGTAATAATTTATTAATTTTTTGGTTTTAGTAATTTATTTAAATTGTATCTGGTTCATGTGTTAAATATATTGTAAAAGAAAACCTAAGTGTAGCAAGAGTAGATAAGCATATAGTTTGTTTGTAAGTATATTGTATATGTTAGTTTGAATTTTTATTGTTGTTGTCTATATATATAAAAGTGAGTGGCGGTTTCTATTATCCTTATGATCTCGAAAACTACCCGACCGATTTACTTGAAATTCAACATATAATAGATATTCAGCTACATCTGAGGAAAGTCAGAACTGACATGAAAACCCCCACTCGATGTCTTCCTCGGTCACCAGATCGAGACGACTTCATGTATATATTTTAATGTATATTTTATTTGGAGACGTAAAAAAGGATTTCTGTGCGTAAGTTGAAGAGATTGGGAGAAAAGATAGAACTTTGGTGTTAATAAAGATGTGAAATCAATCTCAAAGTTCTGTGCCAAAAAGGGCCACGGTTGAAAAAATAGAATTTGGGGCTTAATAAAGAAGTGAAACCAATACCCAAATTATGTGCCTCAACTTGAAAAAATATCTTATTCAAAAAACTTTCAAGATGTTCAACTGTACAAACATCAAAAAAAAATATTAGCACAGAACGGCGTGAATTACAGTTTGTCAACAAAAATTCGAATCAGACAGATTAACTCGTAAACAAGTCGACAATTCCGATTTATGGCTAATTTTATTAATTCATCATTATTATCCAAGTTTTTGACATGCTTCTTTGTATGTATCATATTCAATACCATCAAAACTTTTAGTTTTTAAGTTTTTAAATGATGTTGGACCACGTACATTATGTAATAATATTCGTAGATAAAAACATTCTGGGTTATTTGGATGTATTGTATACATTCGACCTATAGTGTCAGTTTTATAGATATTAGGATATCTATTAACTGGACTTCCTTGCTTTCTCGTATTGAATTTTTTACTTGAATTATCCCATGTATAATATTTCGCAACGTCGTAATAAAATAATGTCTTGACAAAATTATCTATTGTACATAATTTAAAAAAGGCGGTCAATGTGGTTTCTTTTGGTTGTTGAGCTTTTTTTTCTATATTTTCATCTGAGAAGTAAACACATTGTCCATTTTCAAGGTGTACGCTAAGATGAATTTATCTATTATAGATGGATATCGATCATGAATCGGGAAACCTAAAATTCGCCATATTGCTTCATTACTATTTATGTATCTTCCAGATTGATAGTCTTCAATTTCATCTTTTTTATTTTCGATTGTAAACATTGCTCGATCACTCCCTTTGTGAATGTATTTCAATATGTATTTTATTGCAACGACTGAACTACATGAATCAAGTGGAGAGTAAGGAACAATCCAACTGTTATCTACATCGACTGGTTTATATTTACCATTCATCATTTTCATTTTTATAGTAGTTTTAAAACCACCGTCCGTTATACTCCTTCTTCTGTACAATGGATATCCTTTAGAATTTGTTCTTGTTTCATATCAGTGCAAAATTATTTTAATTATACACAACTGAACTTTAAAGCAATATTTATGAATTAATAATTTTAAAGTTGAACCGTCAAAATCGTTAAATTGCATTTTTAATGGTACGTTCAATCTATTCCGTATTTTAAAAAGAATATAGCGTAAAATGAAAAATCGCGGTGTCACCTAAAATGGTTCAAAAAAAGAAATTTTTCAAAAAAATGGAAAAAGTGAAAAATGTTGGATTTCATATCAATCGGTTGAGTAGTTCAAAAGAACACTCATAAAGGAGGAAAAACGAAAAGTCAAATTTAGAGCGTATATATCAACATGTATACATTAAAGGCAATTCCACTTGTTAGCGAAATTTATTGAGTATCGTACATAACAATGAAAAAATTTTATTAAGAAAATAAAAAAAAAATAACATTACCAAACTGAATTCTTCATTTATTAAGAAAAAAAATTCAAAGTGAAATATTCGTATGGTCGCAACCCGGGCGAAGCCGGGGTAACACCAGCTAGTTTACTTATAAAACTGAATTAGGGGCGTCATATTTATGTTTGCTCCCCCATAAATTGTCACTTAATACGGCCCTGAGTAGTGTGGCATCCACCTACCCGCTTTTTTTTGGAATGACCTTAATTTTATAACGACTAATATTTACCTAATTTAAATAGTGGTATATGTATACTATAAGCACACGTATACTGTATAGATTTAATAAGTATTAAGAGTGGATATACGGCATTTACCCTGTGACCAATACTTGAGGCGATGTTACATAGCAAATCGAGGGATATTTTCGATCTTTTTGTCCAAGCGGGTATCACTAACGTCCCCCCAAAAATAGTCCATAGTCGTGTACTGTCGGCCGTTGGAGTACGATAACTAAAAAAGTACCTTTTTTTTTTACTTAGCCAATTTTTACACGGAGTTTGACGAAGATTTTTAGTTGTGATATCACCAATTTTTTAGAAAATTGTCGAGCCAAAAGTTTTTGGAGAATTTATTTTATTATTAAGTTATGTTTTTTTATTAAATATTTTAATTACTTTTCTTTATTTTTTTTCTTTGTACACATCATCATCGGGCCATGTATGGGCTAGTTTTGGGCCTTCATATAGTAGGTAATTGGTAATATATTATTTAGGTATCCTAACATAGACATTTTTATCTCTTAAAAATCGGTCATAAATAGGCGGCTAATTAATTATTGTACATTAATAAACCCAATAATGTGTTTTTTCTACCCTACTAAACACCCGTATTAACCAATATTTCTAATAATATATATTATATCTATATTTATCTGGAATTATCTGGACACTTAATTTTATTGTTTAATGAAAATACGACTGATAAAAATTGATTTATTAAAACATAATAATCAATACCAACAGATAATTAAATCTAAAAAAGTTGACAATTTATTTTGGTTGGTTTTAAACATACCAACGTAAAAAATTATTTGCATTTCGGATGATGCCTTGCGAACTAGTTATTTTGTCATAGGACTCGTTGTTTTAAATTCCAAATAAGCATTAAAAGTTAGGTATTGAAAAATAGAAAAAAATAGATAGTACCCATTAATTGAATTGTCCAATATATTAATATTAATATCACCACAAATAGTTTACTTATTGGTGATAAAATTAAATCCAGCTCATTTATACAATTTTAATAACAAAAACATAAAATATATTTAGTAACTAATACTGATAGAGTATTCGCTCAGAATCATTTTTCGAATACAATTACGTACCAGCTATACCTACTACTGAATTCAAATATAAATAATTCATTGTGACCACGATTTAAGATATAACAGAGATCTTTCTAAATAACAAGCGGTACCTACTTGCCCGCCTTTTTTAAATATTTAAAAACAAAATAAAAATATAGTGAATAAGTCCAGTGGCGTGACTAGAATTTTTTTAGGGGGTAGTTATTTTTTGTAATACAATTTCACACTCCCTACAATGTAGTCATAAATTGTTTTAATAAGTTATAATTTTGTTATGATAACAATTATTGACACATTTTATAGTGCTGTAAACACAAGGTAATAACAAAATCACAGTATAGATAAGAGTATAAGACTATGTATCTTCTCTACATCTTGTATAAAATAATAAAATAATTGAATGAAAATGATTATTATTACCAGTGAAGTAGATAACGCAAATTCCAAATGATGGTATAGTGTAAATATTATCTGAACGAGTGCAATAATACGACACCGTGTGAACTATTTAAGATATTAAACCGTGCTGGTGTGCGATATGGTATAAGCATAACAGTATACATTTTGCACCGAACAAATGATTGTATTCCTATATTATAAACACTATATTTTTGTTATGAATACTGTCAAGGGGGATGTTTTAACACCCAAACCCCCCTCCCCTTGGCTACACCACTTAAAGTAACTATTCAATCTTCTGTCGCATATTTCTTAAATGTTTTGCGTTTTCTTAAAACTATTTTTTTTATGATTTTACCTAAAACAATTTCTGTTGTATTGTAAATAATCATTTTCGTGGAAATTTGAAACAATCTTTTATTATATATCTATATTATCTTATTGATTTTTCGTAGTTTTTGAATATTCTCGTATTTAACTGCGTGTACACAATATCGGATATATGTATGTAAAATGCAATTATTTGCCGTTATTGAACACTGCAGTAATGTACCTATTTTGCCTATACAATACGCCGGGTAACACTTTATGTTTTCGAGGAGTATTTCTTCGCTATTATCCTAAACTCACATAATGCACAGTCCTCACCAATTCTCCAAAACCAGTAATAAATCATTACAAACATTTTTAATAACAATAATAATCATGTTAATCGTTATATCTGTTTATTATATTAAACCTTGTTTAACTATACTACCGTACATAAGCATATTTTATTTTATTTGATGATTAAACGCCCCGCAAAGCATTTAGTTAAAAATACAGTAAAGTAGATAAATTATACAAGTAGATATATAAGATAACAGATAGTGAATATAAGTAAGCTGAAAAAAGTAAAGTCGTAGGACTAAGGTTGGTTTAATAGGTGTAACATTCTGTGGAGAGGCTTTTTATGAATATACGAGGTGAGATGGGTAGGGATATAGAAAAGAGAACGGTGTCTCGTAGAGTAGGAGGGAACGCGAAAGTAGGAGGTCAGCGTGATTACGTCGTGAGGCCAGAGTTGGGATACTGAGGGTGGAGCGGATAATGGTATAATCATGAGGTGTGTGTTCAAAAGGCAATAAAAGATTTCGTACTCGTTCAATGCGCAATTGATCACCGGCCGTCCGGCCAGATATGGAAACCAAACGACCGATCCATATTCGAGGATGGAACATACAAGGCTGAAGTAGAGGGTACGGAGACAGGTGGCGGAGGTAAAGAGGGTTGAGTTTCATTTGATGAATCTGAGGATAATGAGGCTCTTCCCAACAGTTACATTTAAGTGGTTTGAAGGAGAGGGTGGGTGATAGATAATAGCCTAGGGCTTTGATAAGATGAACTTATCTACATGATAGTTAATAGTAGATCATAGAGTAATGTAGTATAGATAGGGTGATAGTAACTTACTATTTGGGAGTTCGTACGGTGACAGCATAGAACAGTAGAAAACAATAGACAGGTGACAGTAAGCTTCACGAAAGCAACTATCATGTTTTTCTATCATCGTGTGACCGCAGTTTTATGCAATTTCTATCAATACCACAGATATATAAAAATACTAGATGGTCAACTTCAGTATTATTATTGTCGCCAATAAAATGGCTGCCATCGTTATCTATACTCTTTTCAAAATAAGACCGTGACACAACGGTTCACAACGTAAATCTATCCAAATAAATAATAGAAATGATTGATATTGTAAAAAAATTGTGTTAATTAGTTTAATCTTTTCTTACTTAGTAATTGAACTAACATTTACGTCTAATTGAGGTTAATTAATTCCTCAAAATTAAATTTAAATGATTTAATAATATTTGCAAACCTACGGATACAAAAATAATAAATAAAATTTCATAATAATTCATAAAATTCTAGTATGATTGGTGAAAAATTTAATAATTTTAATCGAAAATTTGACTGGTTGCCATTTAGTCAATTTTGATTTTAGAGCTATGGTAAAAAGGACCAAATCGACTTAAAAAATTCGGTCTATCCAAATTTGGTATTCAAAACACCTGTTGCCATTTAAAAAAATGCAAGTTATATTGCGCATGCGCACACGGAAAGATCTTAAAATGTAAAAATCATTAAGAAATATGTATTTATGTATTCCCTATCCCCTCCTTAAAACCGCATATTAATCCGATGTCACTGGACAGAATTATTTAGTGTTACCTTTAAAAGGAAACACACTGTATATTTAATCGTGATATATTATACAAAATAGTATCTTATCACCTACCGTATCAGTTTGATTTGTAAACAGTCACCTCCACGGACTATATATATCTTAGTCCGTGGTCACCTCTTAAATAATGATTGGCGGCCATTTTGTTGGAGACATTATTTTATATGTATGGACTATAACAGTCGGCTATCTAGTATTTTTATACATCTGTGATCATATACTTTGGACCACGATGTAGAGAAGATAAGGTGTAACCACTTCCCTATCTCACAATATAAAAACGAACGGCAATTCGTGAGTTCGAAAATCTCTCAACAGAGTACCATTCGCTCGGGGGCCTATTTTTATTTCAAGTTGTAATGCGTAAATGCGTTATTAAATATTTAAAAATGTATTTAAAATGTAAATATAATGTTCATAATATGAATATAAAATAGGCGGAATATAATATAATATATTATTATTATTTATAGATATATAAACCAAGTTAATATTATTAACTATTCTACGTTATTAGGTATGTTAAATATGTAAATATGCAGTTATATTGA